GGGTGTTTTTCATCCGCAAGTTTGAGATGTCACCCGCCGAGGCCAACTCGTGTACGGGTGTGATCTACATCATCTCTCTGGTGGCGTCTCCGATCATCGGGCTGTCGATCGACTTCACCGGCCGCAACATTCTCTGGGTGATGGCGTCCGTGCTGATGACGGTCGGCTGCCACGCGCTCATGGCCTTCAGCTTCGTCAACCCCTGGGTGGCCATGGTGAGTAACGTGTGGGAGAGTAACGAGTCTTAGGCTCTGACAGCCTTGGACTCTGACAGTCTTGTGCAGGGCTCTATGGTCGTCACCGCAGGCAGGGTCCAGCCATGGATTGCTATCTATTTCATAATCCGGCGACAATGATTACAACCATCCTTCCAAATCAGATGGTTTCGTCTTCACTGTCAGCATTTTGGCTGTTTTGTGACAAATATTCACAGGTAATAGTTCACATAGGCTCCTTTACGTTCCACCTGCACAAAAATTAAAAGCCGAAGACAACATCCGGACTGCAGTGGACCGCCTTTTGGCGTTTGAATCACATGTGCTGATTTCCTCATCGCTTGACAACGCGAAATTCATGCCTAGCTTCAGGCATGGTCGTAAAACTAACCCTATCCCCTTCAATTATATTGCGATTTTAAGATTAGCGTGCTTATTTCTGTCCCTTGTATCAGTCAGAATTTAAGGTGATTGCCCCGTTTGCAATCGCTGTACTCAACCAGCACGGTCATTGATAAGCTTTTATCTGGAGGTGAATTACTTACCGGCCTACTGGCAAATCCTAGGTGTGTACTGTGTAATTGGTTCAACAGCTAGCCTTCAGCCAAAGCTCTTGCAAACGATGGAGGAAGATATGTGGCGAAGTATGTCTTAACCCTCGCCGGCACAGGGGGGGGGGGGGGTGATGCAACCCCCCCCCCTAAGGTTTTTCGCGAATAACTCGCGTAAAAAGCGGCTGATCGCGACGAAACTTTCAGTACCCTCGCATTGATCAATTTTACACCTACCCTATGACCCTGACCCCAATGACCTTTGACCTGTGACCTCTTTTCCGAGACCATGTTTGGCCGGAATCGCGATTCGACGTATGTCGGCTAACATTAGCTGCGCGTTTGCAAGCTTTTTGTGGTTTCAAACGTTCAAACATGTGATTTGATATCGCTCCCATACATTAGGGTGGGTGTCAAGGTCACCTGAAGGTCAGGTCAGGTCATTGACCTTTGGTGACCTCGGGTGACCTCGGTTCACTTTTTCGAGTTTTACATGTTTCTACGCTAGTTTTTGGAGCTGAATTCGAATTTGGCAACCATTTGAACATTTACGAAGTAGTTTTGGTGCCTTCGTAACATGTTACGAAGCTGTCAGAGGCGGTTGACACGTTTTACGAATACCCGTCACAACCCCTACCGGTTGACCTGACCTGACCTGACCTGACCTGGTCTAAATGCTTAAAGACATCATCTCTGATCAAAACTAACACGATATTCGTGATCAGTACCCCGGAAAACCACATAACAGCCACAATTTGCGACTTTCTAACAGGTCCCGATTTTCCCGGTTTTCGGGTCATTTACCTGACCTGGAAGGTCACCCGATGACCTAGGACCTTAAAATTGGGTATCATCGGCTTCGTCTCGTGACGGGCAACACGCTCGTTTTTTCCGCGAAGCTCTATCTCGATCAGGGGCCAAACGCGAGGGGGGGTCGTACCACCCCCCCCCCCCCTTGTGCCGTCGAAGGACGCAAAATGGCCTGTGCCGGCGAGGGTTAAGGGACAATGCAATCGCAATATCCTAAGAAAGCGACGTGGATCCTTGGAGCTTTCGTATCTTTCGATAAACCGTCATATTTTATCCTATCCCATCAGGCCGAACAACTAACGACCTGTGTTACCAATGAGGGTCTGCTATATCGTGAATCTGCCTCTAGCCAACTCTTGAGAAGGCCTGACTGAACTTCCACTGGGAGGCTGTTTCTGCTGGGTTGATTTTATGTGCTTGAAGTAGTTGTCATCTAAGTTTGTCGCCGAGTAACTGAGCTGACGTCACCCTCTGACTCGCGCCGCTCTCCTGCCGACAGTCGATCTTGGGCCTGGCCTTCTCCATGCTGGCCTCGGCGCTGTGGCCAATGGTGGCGCTGGTCATACCCGAGCGGCAGTGCGGCACCGCCTACGGCATGTGAGTACCGGCCAGCGACTGAGGGTCGCTGGAGAGACCCACACGCCTATGTGAGGGGCGATGTGCCCAGCGCTGTGCTGTCCTTGTCTTCACTGACCGTCGGTTGTCGATCACGACTCTCCGCGGTGACCGAGCCGTCCGTTCGTTCTCGCCACAGCATGCAGTCGGTGCAGAATCTCGGCCTGGCACTGGTCAACATGCTGGGCGGCACCATCGTGGACAATAGCGGCTACCTGGTGCTGGAGGTGTTCTTCCTCGCCTGCCTCTGTGGTAAGTGCCCAGGGATGGGATTATCGTCGCCGGTGCCAGCATACAATCGGCCATGACAATTCTAATCTATATTATGAATTATCTGTTATAAAAGAAAGGTAACTATGTCGTTTGTGCTACCTTATCAATTCCGTTCCGTGGGTAAAAGTTATAACGTTCACACGGAAAGAGCAGACGATCATTTCATTATCAGTGGGAACATGTTCCGCAATACGCACCGTATTGGTTAGCTAGCAGTGGTCATTCCTGTCATATGAGTGATTCGTCACATTTTTTGACGTGTGTAATGTGTATCTTATGTCTTCTTGGGGTTATTCTTAACGAGTGTCGAAACACCAGAAAATGCCAGAAAATGCAGTTGAGTATGTCGGTGCGCGCAGTGTCGCTAGTGGCCTGCATCGTGATCTGGGTGATGGACGACCTGAAACACGAGGGCTACCTGAACGGCAGCCGCGCCGTCAAACACGCGATCGAGCAGCGCCGCCGTAAGACCCGGGGCACTCCGTCCGTTCGCCGCGGGATACCGTCTGTCTGTCTGTCTGTCCGTACCGCGGGGGTGCCGTCCGCCCAGTGTCTGTACATACCCGCGTCTGTCTGTGCGTCTGTACAGCCACCATGATGGCGGCCATCGTGATACTGGTGCACGACGCGGCGCGCGGCGGCTCGCTCAACATGACGCCCGGGCAGCGACGCCGCTTCGACGCCTGCTCCAAACGGTCAGTGAGACGCACTCGAAAGTCGAACACACGGGCGTCGGACCCATAAACACGACCATTCGTCATAAAAACACGTGCTCGAACACATAAACAAACACACACAGGCACACAGGCACCTGCACAAACACATGCATTATTTTCAGGAAGGGGTGGGTGATGGCGAGATCATTTATCTCAAGTCGTGAAGAAGCGGGTTAATGACTACGAGGCCTTAATTTTTAACGTGTCGAAAGTTACCCACCACATCCAATGTGTGCTCAACCATATTCATATGATGTAGGTATATCGTCGTGTCTGTCGTTCGGATCTGTCCTTCTCGTGGGTCGCTATCGGTGTTATACAACTGAACCGAGTCGGACGCCATAAATGGCGCTCGTTGCCGGGATGTCGGGTCGGTTTCCGTGTATGTATGTGTCGCTGGTCTGGTCGGGAGTCTGTCCCGTGTCCCGTGCCGGTCCGCCGGGATGGCTCACCGGTCGTAGCGTCCGCTCACCCGTGCTGTCGGGACCGGGCTGTTTACAGCGCGCTGACTCGACCCGACGATACGGAGCCGCTGGTGACTGAGGATGACCAGCCCGATCAGCAGTAGCGGTCACAGGTCAGGTCAGGTGCAGAACGGCACACACGGACCTATGGTAAAATGATTGACTCTTGGTAATCGTAGAATCACTGTGACTTCAACTATTCTAAAAGTTTGTGATGATTTGTAACGTAGCATAGCAGTCCCATTTCTGTCTTATTTCGGATGCCTTTGACGTAGCAACTTTCTCATTTCGTCGCTGCGCATTGTTTTCTGATTTCCCCGTCAGTTCATGTCCCTTGTTTCGCTTTGCGCTTGTATCAGTGATTTGACGAGCTGTCCCGACCACCGCAGAGGAGGCGGAGGAGAAGGAGGCTAGAGAAAAGTCGGAGAAACCCGAGAAGTTCGGCGTCGACAACCCAGCGCTGGACACGACCGCGCTGTAGGACGGCGCGGTCCTAAACAACACCCACCGATGAAACCCGGTGCCCAGAGCCGCGGGCCAAACTGCCAGAGTCGGCCGGGACCGGGCGGGAGTCCCGCCTCGCGACACAAGGGTATCTGCTCAACAGGGGGAGTATCTTAGCGGGAGCCCTGTAACTCCCCAGCGTGCCTTGAACAACTATCGAGGGACATCAAAGACATATAAGCGGGATCGAGGCCCTCGTATCAATCCCTGTTATGCTCATGGATGCATATTTTAAACATACACATGTAATCATTGCAATCACATGTACATAATGATTGCATCTTCGTACCTGCTTATCGCATGTGAAATGTGCTCGTAATGCTCGTATTTAATGTATAATGACGCATTTTATTTTCAATGCTAGCGTGTTTTATGCGAATAAAGGCTATGTTGTACTCGGATCATGCATGCGATTCAAACAGTTTTCAGTGATACATGAATTTCCTGTTCAGGTTCTTGGACTGTTCCATTCCATTATACCGATTCAAATTGCCATTTTTATCATGGATGAATTCGCTTCTCCGTCATGGGGATTTGCCCTGATTGTATGTTTTAATAAATTTTACACTAATACACCTTCGTTTTATTTCGAAAGGGTTCTCCAAAGCTCGGAGATCATTTGACAGGTCCGTTATGCACGCCCGTCTCGGTCCAAGCCCTAGGTATTATTGTTTTCGTCATGCCCCACGCGGCCCCAAAGCCGACATGTTCTGGCCACCTGGAACCGCCGAGCGTCTATAGCTTAATGCTACGGTCATATGACTACAGCTCAGAAGTCACAGTGCTATGTTCTCTACGGCGCGATATATTCTCGTAGCTGCAGGTGCGCCCTGTCACACGAACTATCACGCATTCTCTAGATAGTACATGTATTTGTCTGACGACACACCACCGATCACAAACGAAATACCCACCCCAAACAACAGCCCATACCAACAGCTCGGATAAATACTTCATATGATGGAATGTAATAATATTCTATGAAGTGATATTCTGGCAGGTCTATAACTTCGTATATATTTATCTAGCGACCCGACACGTCATGCAAGGATGCAGCATCCGCATGATAAAGCATTTCACCACCATCACGATTCCTCAGCGGTCTGGGTTCAGGCCTTAGGAGCTGCTTCTCTGGCTGCTACCGTCGCCCGTCCTCTTCCAGCAGTCCCAGAAGCCGTGTGCGCGCCCGCTTACCCACGTGGCTCATGCAGCCGATCAGACCGGTGACCTGGCGTTTGGTGTACTCCTGCGGGAGAGGGTGGATGGTCAGTGATACTGATAGGGCCGTTGCAGCCCATTGGGACCGAGCTGCAGACACTTCAGTGATACTGATAGGGCCGTCCATTGGGACCGAGCTGCAGGCACAGTAGCGGATGGAGAACCGTTTGTTCCATATCCTCCTCGGGCGAGTTAGAAACACAAAACGTGCAACTCCATATTTAGTGCGCTAACTTAAAGGCATGTATCATTGATCCAACCGCGCTGACTCGTTACCTTGTGCTGTCGGATCCAGTCGTCGAGTCCCGACTCGGGCACGTAGTACGCCTTGACGTACGTCTCCACGAGGTTTCGTTCGGGCAGCGGCCGCAGCCTCGTCAGCCGCTCCAGCTTGGTGACAAACTGCTGGTAGTCGAGCTGCATCAGCGCGCGGCCCTCGTTACTGCAGCGGCGAGCAGAGGCGAACCTGGCACACAGGGGGCGGATGGCGTGAATTATCACCGATGTGATGCGCAGCGACCTGACCAGTTCAACTCACAATGAAATAGCAGTCGCAGCTGAAAACAAGCGTTCATCATTAGTCTAGATTTACTGGATTAACTGGCAACACCAAACTTAGGCAAGGCGTCATGCACTCTTCAGACTATCAGAATGTGAAACACGAAACGCCGGTACCAGAAGACGCTCACTCACCCCTCGACGAAGGCGCGGTTGGCGACACGGACGCACTGGTTCCAGAGTGTGTCATAGACGGGGCGCGGCACGGGCAGCCTCCGGCCCAGCTCCTCCAGACGCATACTAAATACCTGCAGATCCTGTGGGTGACAGCGCAGGCCAGGTCAGCGATAAGCGACAGCAACCAGCTAGCCATCTCAAACGCAATGACACGGAACTCAGCCTGTCTCTGCCTCGACGTAAATATTCATTCATGAGATGCGAAGATAATAAAGTACAAACAAGAATTATATTCATCAGAAAATAAAGTAAGCTATATTTGCGGTTCTGGAAGCAATTCACGTCATGTCATTGGCGGCCAACTGGTGACATTCGATAGTGCAGAAAAAGCATTGTATTGACATTGATATGACCAACGGGTGTAATTCAAGAAAAACTTATGCATTTACCATCATCACCTCGCCGGCCGTTCTCACCCTGAGCATGAGGTCGACGTAGGCGCTGTGCTGGCTGCACAGCTCCTTCACCTCCCAGTTGACGTTGGCCATCCGCATCAGTATGACGTCAGAGTCCATCACCCGTGACGTCACCGGAAAGTAGACCGGACCGCGCACGTCGGCCGCCGCCGCCACCGTCTGATGGTAACAGTCAGTCAGTTGACCCTTTGACTTTGGAGGGTTTACTTAAAATAAGCTAATTGACACACCAAACATCATTCTTTTCACTTTCATCCCATACTCAAGCCATAATGTTGTCTGTCAGGCTGATTATAATACTAACCGCCGCTGATAATGTCAGTTACGGTCCTCGGTCAGCTTACCTGGCCGTGGAACTGCTGCAATATCATTCTCCTCCTCATAATGTCGCCTATCCAGGCTGATAATAATACCAACCGTCGCTGATACTATCAGCTGAGTTGAGCTCACCTGGCCGTAGAACTGCTGCACGTACAGCCGCTTGCTCTGCGGTATGTTCCCCTCCACGTGACGCCGAATTAGCTCCAGCTGATCTGAAATGTTCGAGTACGGGTGAGGTACGGCGAAAAAAACGGCCGCTCATCACCCGACCGTGCCAGGGCCGGCGCAGCATGAGCAAACATCGACGTGCGTGCAAGGTCTTATGCACCGCATGACATCTGGACGTGACACAATGGTTGTCCCCCTTCACAGGAGGATCGCTGGTATTGGTGGCAGTTCATGATAATGCCGGGGCAAAAGATACCGAGTACAATCATGCAGCACTGGATCACCAAATCACGTCTAAATACATACGACCCTGCGATGAAGACCACCCACCCGCACCGTGTCTTGTCTCTTTACGCACCTGCGATGAAGACCACCGACTCGGCGGCCACCAGTCTCGCGGCGAGGCCGTGCAGCCGCTCGGGCCGGTGCAGCTCCACGGCGGTGTTCAGGGAGGCCGGCGGCACGCGGACGGAGCTCCACTGGGTGGATGGGCCGGCCAGAGGAGCCGGGGAGCCGCCCGTCGCCCGGGACGGGTCGGCACCCGCCGCCGACTGAGCAGAGCTCCTCTCGATCAGCTGATCGGAGATCCTCTGCAGCGCCGACACGAGGCGCGGCGAGCTGCCCACATCGTCCTGGCAACACACATCACTGTGGTCAGCCCCATGGTGGGCGGCGCTACCAAGTTTTCGGACGAGGCAACGCGAGGCTACCCGAAGACCTACCGGAACAACAGGCAATAATTCCCTAAGACGCCAATTATTATGGCGAATAAAAGTTTGAGACTTGCCAACCCCTTGTATCATATAAGTTTTCCTCTTATTCATCAAATATAAAAAACTAACACCCTGGCATCCTCGACCTCGTAAGCCTCAGTATGATTGCCTTTTTGACTTTTTGAGCTATCGTGGGAATATTGTAGCATTCCTGGTATAATCAAAACTAAGCAAATAATAGACACACGGACCAAGATAAAATGAAACAAAAAGCGAACCTGTCCATGTCCTCTGTATCTTATCTGCTTTTATCAACTGCCTTCATTCCTGGTTCTGTGAACACTGAATACCAGTAGTCTCTTTCCCACAGAGAATTTGCTTCTATGGGACGCACCACATTCGGGATCCGAGCTGTTTCAGGGCGTTTTCTGAATGTATCGACAGATGCAGATACACATACAGTTCGGGTAGAGGTGTACACTGTACAGCGGCAGTGGTACTTACCGGCGGCGCGAACAGCGAGTACACGGTGTACAGGTAGAAGTCGAACAGCTGGCTGAGGCACACCACCACGTCAAGCGCCACGGTGCGCAGTAGCGCCATCATGCGCAGGTACCGCCCGCAGAGCCGGAGGACGTGGAGCGCAGTGGAGCTGACGGGCGGCGCCAGGGCCGCGGCCGTGGGCATCCGGCGCGGCGAGCTGGGGATGTCAGACAACGGCCGGAGGGTTAGCACAGTGGGAAGGGTCTCTACTGTCAGCGGGTGGCGCAACGGGCATCTTATATCAAATATGGTGAGAAGAACAAACGCATTTGTATGTCACTTTGAAAATAACAGCGGTTTGCCTGTAAGACTGCCCTCCGCCATCTCTTAACTCACCTAACCGTGGTGCTCTGCCGGTGGGGGCCGTCTCTGAACTCACCCGACCGTTGTGTTCCACCGTCTCTGAACTCACCCGACCGTTGTGTTCCACCGTCTCTGAACTCACCCGACCGTTGTGTTCCACCGTCTCTTAACCCGCGCCCCGTAGGGGGGGGGGGGCCGAAACGGCCCCCCCTGTCCTTTTCGGTCGATATCTCCTAAACGGCTGGAGATATCGCCACCAAACTTTCAGGACCCCTCCGGGCATCAATTTTACACATTGTGACCAAAATTTTTCCAGAGGCTATGATAGGTTGGCCACAAATGACGTCAGAGTGACGTCATGTTCTGTCATTTTCGACCGAAAAAAGACCTTCGCGAGAAGACCTGTCAGGACTACAGCTTTGAAGATACAGAAAAATGATCAAGACATAAAAGGTGTAGAATTGACAGGGCTACAAAACTGCTATCTCGAATTTTTGAAATTTTTGAGTTTTGACCCCCAAAAATCAAAAAAGCATTTTTTTGGATATATTCACCAAAAAAACAAAAAGTTTTTTGAGTTTCGAAAAAACCGGAATATATAGATAGTGCCTACCGTCTTCTATCTACATACCAAATTTCAGATCGATACCTCGTTTTTTGGCCAAGTTATAGCGAAAAAACTGTTCAAAAATGATGACGTCAAATTTTCAAACTCAATTTTTGACAATTCTAGAACTCGTAGAGCAAAACGAAGACCACCATTAGACTTCCCGTGACGAGCTGCATCGAATCGATACCCATTTTATGCAAAAATATCAACTTTGAAATTTGACCTAATTTGACCTGACCTTGACCTGACCTTCACAAAAACGTGACCTAGGCTGGCCCCAAAGGCTGCCTAACCCACATAATCGCATTTGTCATGTAAAATGGACCATAAAACATGTATCACACGACACATTCATATTGTGACCCCCGGTGACCTGACCTCGCTGTGACCTGACCTGGTATCAGTGACCTCAGATAGCAAAGTATGTGTTTGACGAACAATGTACCATCGATGGTTTTCAATAAATTACCAATTTACTCGCTTTCACAGCACATTTCTTGAATTGCCTGTGAACGGTGAAAATCTGACCTTTGACCTGACCTGTGACGTCATCGGTTTGACCTAGGTCAATGAAATTTGGTCACAAGGTAGTTCCTGGGTGGGGCTATCGACCGCCGTTCGAATTTTGAAAATCGGCCGGTAACTTTCCGAGATCTTAGGGGGGGGGGGCCGTTTACGGGTGGTAGGGTCCGCCGGTAGCCCTACGGGGCGCGGGTTAACTCACCCGACCGTTGTGTTCCACCGTCTCTGAAGTCTGAACTCACCTGACAGCTGTGCTCTGTCGGTGGGGGCCGTCTCCAGGGGCCTCTTCCACCTGCTGCACCTTGAGCTCCTCCGACTCGTCGTCAGAGTCAGAGTCAGTCTGCCGGAGTCAAGGGTACATAATGTCAGCGGTCGGTGGGAGAGACAGAGGCTCACACAATGTGACATTGTCAACCAGCCGATGATCTAAAGTTCATACTCCATTCACAGTTTCACACTTCATGACACTTCATCGCGTTCTCAAGCGACCAGCCGACCAGCCCAGCAGCCAGCAATCATGTGTGTCCGACAGCGACCGGACAGACTCCATGCTGAATTCATCGCCAATGACTCACCATCTCAGTGCTGGGCAGGTCTCCGTCCACCTTGGCGTCTCGGTACACGTCGAACGGGTTACGCTCGGCGTCATACGTCTTCAGGAAGAGGACCCGCGGCTCCGGCTCAACGTCACTCTGCAGTAGGTGCTGCCGACGCAGGTGCTTAAACTCCTGGAGAGGAGAGACGGACAGCGGCGGTCACAAATGACGTACCTAGCATGACGTACCTAGCCTAACATGACGGTGATGGGCGATAATGCGAAATTTCCCACAGGTGACAAGCGGGGTGCGCCTACATTTCACACAAGGTAATGGTAGCATTACGCCTACATGCTGCCCTACGCTTACACGCTTACGCTTATATGCCCCGCTGGAGGGGATGGTCGGTACCCGGTCATCTCTCTTGTTTTGCTAAACGACACAATAAAGGTAACTGCTACATATTATTGTTGCCATTTTATCGGCTACGGGCTAGTATGACTTAATCGCGCGGTCAGCTAGGATGTCAAACTCGTACTGAAGGTGCAGTTTTCAGTTAACTTGTTTTCTTAAATCATTAATCGAAATCCAAGGTCCCCTGAAATGGCCAAAATCCAAAATCCAGAAATCCAAGACCCAGCCTACCTGCAGATTATGCACAGAGAAAGTCGGCTTCACGGGACACACTTCCCAGGCTTCGTTCTCGAGGAACATCCGCAGCTCCTCCAGCCGCGCGCGGTGGTACACGTGAATGAAGGCGACGCACTGTTTTTTGACGGCCTCCTCCAGCGGCCCGCCCTCCTGGCCGCTCAGCTCCGCGCCGATCTCCAGCAGCCTGCCAGAGGAGAGAACGGTGGTCATATGGCAGCATACGTCTCCCAAAGTATTCGCCAAACCACTTTCTCTAACAGGAAATCGAGCCAGTGGGTCAGCAGACATGTTAAATAGGAATTTCAAAGCATCTGAATAGCAGGAGATCCTTTTAAGCTTTATCATTCCCGGGCGAAATTAGCTGCTGATTACTCAGTTGGGTACGTAATGGGCTGAAACGATACGTGGGGAATGAGGCCCCCCCAAAAATATTGAACATTACTTTTGCTTACCATCAGTACCTAACAAATCCAATCGACATCGACTGCCCGGACCACCCACCTGTGCACCACGTCCAGGATCTGGATGAAGTCGTCGAAGTTGAAGTGCGACAGCTCGGCTGCCAGTAGATAGGCGCGTACCCGGCCCTGGACGTCCAGCCAGATGCGCGACCGGCCGTGCTCCAGCTTCTGAGCCACGTAACGGCGGTTCAGCGACAGCTCGGCAGATTCCGTCTCTGAGGAGTTGAAATTGGTTATCAGCAAAATAATGCAGTGATACCGTAGCGGGAAGGAAGACCAAAGAAAAAAGCAGAAACATGCGATATCGACTTGAAAACGTTATCTCGTCGAATACTCCCGCCCACAGGCAGAGCAAGACTTGGCGGGCATACAACAACATAATTATGCCACCAACGAGAGCAAATGTACAGCAAACGCTGCTCGAACCAGACCACACCACGAGTTACCTAAAGAAGACACTCTGCGTTGTCTGGCCGTGGTTACATTGCGTGCCTGTGCAGTGTCCAGCTCAGTCGTTCGGCGGCACCAGCCGACCGTTCCCGCGCCGATGACCATCCCCGCCCATCCAGCCACTCACCTGCCTGCACAGCCTCGGCCTCCGCGCGGCTCCGGTGCCATTGGAAGATGCAGTGGTAGTTGTAGATGATGTTCCACAGAACGCGGCACAGGTCCCTCAGGCAGGGCAGCACGCTCTCGGCCGGGACCAGCTGGACAGAACAGCGGTGGGTCAGACAAAAAAACGACAGCCTGTGACCGTCTCCATTCTGAATAAGTAAGGATTTTGCCGAAATAAACGGGTAAAATTTACCACCTGCCAGTCCGTGCATATAATGATAAAAAATATGAAAAGAGCACGTACACACATCAATCAATTCATTTCTACTACAACCTCCCCTAAGCACGTCCCAGTCTTACCGCGCACAGGTCGGGGTACTGTCGCTTCTGCACGGGCTGCTGCGCGCCGTCAGCGCTCTGTACGTACGCCAGCACCTGCTGACCGCTGGCAGTGTGCACGGCAGAGGTCATGTGCATCAGCAGCTGGTCGGCGGCCGTCTGCGTCTTGCCCAGCAGCCGGTAGGCCTCCTGCAGCCGGCTGTAGCGCTCCGGGTCGAACCGGGTGCACAACTGGCGGTACAGCGGGCATCGAGGGCTGCGGTCAGTGGTCATCATAAGTCAAGCAGCACTATCCAAAACCGGAGACGAATACCAACATGGTAAAAAACAGGAAAAAATAGACGTCATAAAATATATACCAAATGTTCCGATTGGTAAGATCTACCAGGCAGGATGGAGGTGATCCTACTGGTAGTACATCGTACGTACCTTGCCGAGACCGACGTCGAGTTGCTCCTCGACCATGTCGAGCGTGTCCTGCAGCTTGTTGGTCATGTCGCTGACGCAGCTGAACTGCCGGTAGGCGGCGGCCACCTTCAGGCACTCCTGAAGCACGTGGATGCAGCCCGGGTAGTCCTCGGCCCGGAGCAGCTCCTCCAGACGCGCCTCAGTCATTTGCTGCCAGGATACGTAAGTACAGTCAAAGAAGGGTCACAATCACAGAACGTTATAAAAAGCAGCATAACTAGCTGGCAGCGTTGATAAACAACAACAAAAGGCATTAGCGACGAACGATCATTCCACTTGATTGGTCTGACACAATCTCAAGAGGGTAAAATTCGACGAGTGAAACTGGAAAAGGGTTGCAAAAAAGCAGACAAAACAATGCTGCATTGGACGACGTTTTTACGTAAAACAAAAAAATATGGAAAACTACATTGTCTTGAGAAAAATTGATGCCATGTAAAAGCTTAGACAAATAAATATTGATCAATGATAAAACTTAAGATTGCGACACGTAGTTACCAGTGTTCGGATGGTGTGCAGTGGCCGGAGCACGGTGCGCAGCGCCTGCCGGTGCCGGTAGTTGGCCAGCACGCCCAGTCCGCCGGCGGTGAAGTGGGCCTGCGCCTGCCGCACGGACTGTCGGGCGGTCTGGCAGACGGCCAGCGTCTGCAGCAGCTCCTCCTGCAGCAGCATCACCCTGCGGCGGCACGGAACACGGCCCGTGACGACGAACACACGGGCGATTATAGCATCGTAATATGCATCAGTGAATCAATAGCGTGGCCGGTGGTAAGTAGTTTCGACGCAATATCGAACTAAGAGCAATTTGATCTCAGACAGCGGATAATCGCATGTATGGGTCAGATAAGGCCGGGATGACAGTTTCAAACAGTACTCTGCCGACTCCGCTCACTGTCATACGCGTCTCGTATTTTTCCAAATCCATCTCACGTCTCTCCGATTACTCCTATGTTTATGTTTATGTTTATTTGCTCATCACCAACAGGTACAGATAAAACCCGGTTACAGGTGAAGTCATGGATAAATATAAGATAAATCTATATAAATACACGCAACCCTTCGGACGGACAAAAGCTCAATAAAAGCCAGCTCGTGCAGCATGGAGCCTTACAGAGGCCTTGTACACTGATATCGGAGAATAAAAGAAGTCTAGAGATGTATTGTATCGAGAGTACATGAACCTCCAGGCTCCACGAATCAAACTATTAAAACGGTTACATTTAAGGCGTACCGGTTTCGTCTATTGACTTCTTCAGCGCCGTATGAAACAAGGAACAAGAAAACGAGCACAACATCAATCGTTTGAAATAAATAGCACGTATTTCTGAGAACAAGGTCAGAGTGGTCGGGTACCTCCTAAATAAAACGAAATCATACATATTTTCGTGAACATGTAACATGTAACATGTAACAATCTATTCGCAACATGATATTACAATAACTAAATAGTATTATATCAATTGACGGTGCATATATGTTTTCACTTCTCTCACTCTTTCACTCTCTCTCTTTCTCTCTCTCTCTCACTCTCTCTCTCTCTCTCTCTCTCTCTCTCTCTCTCTCTCTCTCTCTCTCTCCCTCTCTGTTCTTTCCACCTCCCTCTCTTTCTCTCTCACTCTCACTCTCTTATTCTTAATTTTTATCTAGATCAATGATGCTCAATTGTGCTGCAGATTTCGCCCATTTTATAAACCCCCCGTTCGTGTTGATCGTTTCGTTAGTTGCGATGTACGCTGCTTCGGTTGCTTTTCTAATCGCTTTTGAAGAGCATGAAGCTATAATTTCTGTCCCCTCCCAGTTCGGTAAATGTCCCGTTTTGTTCGCATGAGCCACAAAAGCGCTATGTTCCATAAAGTTACGAAAATCTCGTTTGTGCTCCTTCAGTCTAGTTTTTGCTCCCCTGCCTGTTTCTCCCATGTATGCCTTTTCACAAATCCCGCACGGTACCCTATATACTACACTCTTATCTGACTTGTCTTTCTTTTCTTTCTTTCGTATCATCTCGCCTATTTTTCGACCAGATGTCACAGCTGTGCGCGCGCCCGTCGTCTCGATTCGCTTGGCTACTACGTTCGCTAGCTTCGAATTCGGTATGGTAAGGTAACGTTCGTTTTTCTTTCGCTGTCGTTCAGTCTCTGCTCTATTTCGGATCTCCATTGCCTTCCTTTTCAGATTTAAAAGAAGGCCCTTAGGGAACTTCAGTCTAATAAAAGAATCTAAGACATGTTGAATTTCCTGCTCCAGATACTCTTCGCTACATATGCGATAGGCCCTAAGAAAGAAAGACTGAAGGAGCACAAACGAGATTTTCGTAACTTTATGGAACATAGCGCTTTTGTGGCTCATGCGAACAAAACGGGACATTTACCGAACTGGGAGGGGACAGAAATTATAGCTTCATGGTCTTCAAAAGCGATTAGAAAAGCAACCGAAGCAGCGTACATCGCAACTTAAACGATCAACACGAACGGGGGGTTTATAAAATGGGCGAAATCTGCAGCACAATTGAGCATCATTGATCTAGATAAAAATTAAGAATGAGAGAGTGAGAGTGAGAGAGAAAGAGAGGGAGGTGGAAAGAACAGAGAGGGAGAGAGAGAGAGAGAGAGAGAGAGAGAGAGAGAGAGAGAGAGAGAGAGAGAGAGAGAGAGAGAGAGAGAGAGAGAGAGAGAGAGAGAGTGAGAGAGAGAGAGAGTGAGAGAGAGAGAGAGAGACAGAGTGAGAGAGAGAGAAAGAGAGAAAGAGAAAGAGAGAGAGTGAAAGAGTGAGAGAAGTGAAAACATATATGCACCGTCAATTGATATAATACTATTTAGTTATTGTAATATCATGTTGCGAATAGATTGTTACATGTTCACGAAAATATGTATGATTTCGTTTTATTTAGGAGGTACCCGACCACTCTGACCTTGTTCTCAGAAATACGTGCTATTTATTTCAAACGATTGATGTTGTGCTCGTTTTCTTGTTCCTTGTTTCATACGGCGCTGAAGAAGTCAATAGACGAAACCGGTACGCCTTAAATGTAACCGTTTTAATAGTTTGATTCGTGGAGCCTGGAGGTTCATGTACTCTCGATACAATACTTGTCCATTTATAACTACAGTCTAGAGATGTGTTGTCTCTTAAAAGCTCATTGCACCTCGATGGGATACGGCAGAAGGTATTGTTTTTGATCGTTGCCACTCGAGCAAACGGCACATGCCAAAGAGCTGGGGACCTGTTGCGTCTGACAGGTGTCGACAGCTGAAACTGATGTAGCAGCTGAGGACAGTCAATGTGGCCGTGAAACACACCGTAAAGGAACATCAGGTCATGTTGCATGAGACGTGATTTGATCGAGGGAACGTTAAAATGCTGAAGTAGGTGATCATAGCTAAGATTTTGTGAGCAAGTGTTACTAGAACAGGCCAGCCAGATGAGAAATGTGTGCTGAATACGTTCGAGTCTTTTGAGGTGAGTCACAGCTGCACCAGACCATACCACACTGCCGTATTCGATGATGGAGCGAACATGAGCTTAAAACACAGACAGTAAAGGCTTTAAACTGACCCTGGCGCGGCGCGGGACGGCCGATCGCTGCATGCTTCTGATCAGCAGACCGACCATGCGTTTCGCTTTGGCGACCGTGGCATCTACGTGACCAGCAAAGGTCAGTTTGCTGACCTTTGCTGACCTTTGATGTATGCCTCTCTACCCCTGTCCACACCTCTCGAGCTCCCTTCCATACATCCCCAGCTCCCCCCAAAACTCCAGCTCATACCTCTCGAGTTCCTGGCTGTGCTCCGGCTGGCAGTGCAGGATCATGTCGGACACCTTCTTGGACACCACCGTCAGCTGCCGGCGCAGGATCTGACGCTGGCCGTTCACCAGGTTCACGTCCATCGTCGGAGGGAACCGCTGTCAAACACCGAACCATCAGTGAGACGACTACCTAGCGAGACGGAGATAGTTTGTGACGATAAAGCGCATCGGTTTCGCTCGGTGTACACTTGCGTTCTCAGGCTCACTGCGTGATAGGTACCTATTCTCACGTCGATAATGAAAATGGCTCGAGAGCTCTGATATCAGTCATTCATAAATCATGACGCAAAGACGTGCGATGTCCCCTTCTAAGATGTAATTTATCACTGAAACAGCACAGTGATGGTTTATGCCTATCGTCACCCACTGTGACACAAACGGCGTAAGTTTGTATCAACCTTCAATCAAAATTTCATGTAGAATATCGTTTCACAAGCTTGCACCTCTGACCTCGTCATCTCTGCTGTCCGACTCTGACCTGGAGCTGCTCGCGGCAAACCTCGGACGAGTCCACCGTCTGGAAGAACGAGCCCTGGATGCTGTCCAGCACGGCCTGCTCGGCCTCTGGCTCGCTGACGTCGTTCGAGACGCAGACGCGCCGCTCCACCGCCTCCGCCGAGCTGACATCGCTGGTACTGGAGACCACGGCCGGCAGCACCGACTGCAACGACAGCGCCGTGAAAACGTGCACCTGATTCGTTGAAATATTTGTTTTAGCTAGAAGTTTTATGGGTAGGCAGTAGGCACCATAGTCAAACTTATAACTAGTTTACCAAGATGGTTTGGTCAGCAAAATACTTTTCGTGTTTTCGGTTCCTTCTATTCTTGTTTTAGGGGAGCATTGTAGCGTTCGGGCGGGAACCGCGGCAAAGCCGCGCGGTACGCGCTCGACGGTACTGAACGAGAAGCGAGCCGAGTGACCACCAGGCGGCGGAAGGTAGGCAGTCAGCGGGCAGCGGACTCAGGATAATCGCCGTCGAGTCGCGGGACACGGAGTTACCTACTGCATGGTTTCCCTGCTCATAGCTTGCAGCTTTGGGTAAGCATTATGAGCTTCAATCAAACATATAATGACTAGGTAATGACTGACATTAGGTATGACAGTTGCTGTTACTGTGACTCTATGATGGTCCATTACAAAAAAGGTAACTGTGGAGTGTGGACCATACAGTGATCTAAGAAGTAGCGAGCAGAACCTTCATATGAAAGGATGGTGAACTCCCTGCTTGGAAATCATGCTTTCATATAGGTGAACAGAAAGTCCAGTGGTGTAGGTAAATGTACACAATGTAAAAATTGATGCACTACAGAAATTTCTCATTTCTCACCGGCTTGTTCATCAGTGTCTTGAACTTCTCTTTCAGATCATCCATGACAAAGATAAAAACAATGAAAGTCTTCAATTATAACTGACAGAGATGTCACCTGAGAGAAAAGAAGTCTATGTCAGATGAGGAAGTAAGAAGTGTTGTCCTTCAAACATTAAAAATCAACCAAGCCAGTAACCCTAGCAGCATGCTGGAGCAATGCTGCAATTGCTGTTGAATCCTCCCATGAAAAACATTTATTTACTCTTAGCTTAGAACTCACTGTTTAATGCCCATTGCCCCATGCTCTCTATTCATTTTGCTTTTATTTTCTCAACTTCATTTGAAGACTTAAGACAAAGACTAACTAAAGGGGTAAAATAAGATGAATTGAGGAATGAACACAGGAATAGCCATAGTGACTAGTGTAATTTCATTTCATCAATCAATCTTTACTTAGCCCTTGCCAGACCTATGAAGCATTGGGCATCGTTCTTTTACAAACACAGCATCTGATCAGATCATCAGGGGATGGGGCACTGGTGGGTACGATTACCCTCATCATTTCGCCCCTAATAGAGCTAGAGCCTTGCCAGTTGCTACAATCGAACATGTACTGTGTGCTACTAAAAGATGCAGCGTTCAGCGACTGTTGGGTAGGAACTTGATTTCGATATCTCGGGGAACAGGTCACGGTGACGGGTGACCTTTACAGTCTACAGAGTACGGACGCATCAAGAGTGACAAGAGACCCAAAGTGCAGGCTAGGTATTGATAAATGCCTTTGTCAAAATCATGTCATAAAGATTTTGGTTGAATTTATGCTTTGTGGTGTGAGTGGGGCAGCATTTGATTTAATTCATTTGACATCAGTGCTTAGTCATTTAATTTTGATTCTGATAATCATGAGACAACGAAAAACAACACTTTTTGCTATTGATAACCTTGATAATAAAGCATCTTATGGTCATCATCTAAATTCAAAGGCTGCACTCTAAACAAACATAACTGCAACAATTAAACAAAATCCAGCCCAACCACTCCCACACCTCCACACACACATCAACAACACGTAAATTCAAGAAAAAGTCAATGATAACAAAGCTTATGAAATATCTGTATAACGATGACGTCACAAACCTTTCAAAAAGATCAAAAATAGAACATAAAAACTCATATTATCTCATTTATAATGTCTGATCAATTTCCTAATTTTTTTATAGAGATCAATAATTTCAAATTTTCTCAAATCACTTTCTTGATACTCGCTGAAAATGGCTCAACGACTGGTAGCTAGGACGTTATCTTTGACGTCATAGAAATGTTCACAGACGATACGCAATTCCAATAACAAAATCTAAGGAGCGGTGGACATGCGACAAAAACGGCGCATGGCAGGCTAGCCGCCGCCACTTAGGGGCACGAAATAATTTTTTTCGCCGTATTGAAAAAGAGTAATTGGCATGCATTAATGATATAAGCTATCAAATTATGCTGTATTGAATTATTTTTGAATGGCATGCAGGTATAGCTGGCACCGTCCTAATTCACTAGGCTGCCGCTGAAGCCTGAACCCTCGTTTTTGAGGTTTGTAGGTTGTAGGTTGAGGTTAGGTTAGGTTCGGTTAGGTTTGTTATGGTTTTGTTAGAAAGAAGCACCTTTGGGCATAGTGCCTCTCCAGTCTCCTTGGTTGGAAAACCGGTATTAGTAGGTATATATTAGGTCCGAGTAAAGTATACATTTAGTCCGAGTGACTGTTAAAAGATAAAGTTGTCATATTCTTACATTATTTGACATCCTGAATCCAAAAATGATACTTATATGTCTTGGAAATAAAAGAAAAAACATAATCAAACCTGACCTAACCTTACCTATTTACCTACAATCTACCAACTTACAACCTCACAAACCTACAACCTAACCTTACCTACAAACCTACAACCTAAAACCTACAAACCTACAACCTAACCTAACCTAACCTAAAACCTAAATTTTTTGCTGTTACATATTTGTATCAACAGCGTCACAATTGTCCACTCGGACCTAATATATACTAATACCAACCTTTGTGTGATGTCTGCTCTACTAATACTGAAAGAAGCACCTCCGGATGTAGCGCCTCTCAAGTCTCGTTGGCTGGAAAACCTTTGTGTGATGTCTGCTCCACTAATACCTGTTTTTGTTGAGCCTACCTACTTATAATATGTGTGACCCAAGGTGCAGGGGTTCAAAAAGGATTGATTCTCAAACTGGTCCAGATTTTTCCAATACCCAGGTCATTGGCCTGGCCTGAAAGGCCAACCAATTGCACATGATATCACATGCACATGGTAGGTATCATCAGCTTCCTCTCGTCTTAGGCAGCACACTCGTTTTTTTCCGCGAAGCTCTAGCTCGATCTGAGGAAGAACGGCGGGGAGGGGAGTCCGATCGATACCTTTGCGGCTGTGAAAACGTCAATCCGAGCGAGCCGCTTTCATTATAGACGCTACAATATTATGTGATTTATCATGCCATGGCTAAATCACGCATTTGAGACAAACCATTTAGCGGTTTTTGTGGTAGTGATTTGATGGCCAGGTGCAGTTAAATTAAAATATTATTGTACTGTTAATGATACTGTTGTGCAGGTTACAACCAGACCAGAAGTCATCAATAGAATCTGACTGAGCCTGACTGGGCCTCCGGAGACTGGCCATGGCGTCCACCGGATGGGCCGGAGACGGCGACATGCTGACCGTCGAGCGGAAAGACATACCGGTAAGCAGCGCAATTTACATAGGCTACATCGAATGAAAAGCACCAGTAAGCAGCGCGATTTTTGTAGGTACATAGTTTAGATCGAACGGAAAGACATGCCGGTAAGCAGAGTGAGGCGACTATGCTTAAATAGTTCATAGTTGTACCATTTGACGGGTCGTAGTACTCGTAGTTGTACCATTTTACGGGTTCAGTTTATACGGTGACTATTATCTACTGCTGTAACTCTGTTTTCCTGCAAATGAATGCTCCCGACAGTCCGCCAGTGTTGACCTCTCTGCGTCCCCGACACTCACCCAGTGCTGACCTCTCTGCGCTCACGACAGTCCGCCATTGCTGACCTCTCTGCATCCCCGACACTCGGCCATTGCTGACCTCTCTGCGGTTTCCGGTAATCGGCCAGTGCTGACCTCTGTGCGTCCCCGTAAATGGGCCAGTGCTGACCTCTGTGCGTCCCCGTAAATGGGCCAGTGCTGACCTCTGTGCGTCCCCGTAAATGGGCCAGTGCTGACCTCTGTGCGTCCCCGTAAATGGACCAGTGCTGACCTCTGTGCGTCCCCGTAAATGGACCAGTGCTGACCTCTGTGCGTCCCCGTAAATGGACCAGTGCTGACCTTCCTGCGTCCCCGACAGTCTACCGGTGCTGACCTCTCTGCGTCCCCGACAGTCGGCCAGTGCTGACCTCCCCGCGCCCCCGACAGTCTGCCAGCTGCATGGCGGTCAGCCGGGACGGGCAGCACGCGCTGCTGGCCAGCCGGCGGCTGCTGGTGCTGGTCGACCTGCAGCGGCCCGACCACCACCTGCGCGCGCTCAGCTGGCACAGCAAGTACGACGCCGGGAGTGCCGCGTGGAGCCGAGCTGCGGCGCAGGGCGGCGCCGACCTGGCCGTCACGGTAAGTCACAGCGTCTGAGAGACACTGGCAGCGGGACATGTTTTGTCATATTTTGGAAAGAGATAACTTAATTTCCGGTTTCGGTCAGTCTAACAGCTATTACGTCCTGTGAATTGATAACGCTTAGTATTTAGCATGCCTTTGAGCTACTGCTATGTTCGCTGTTTATCGTAGCTCACCGTGTATCTCCGGCCCGGCAGTACAACACGGCGGTGGAGGTGTTCCGCTGCTCGGGCGGCGACATCCGCTCCACGGGCAAGCTGCAGTCGCACCGACGCACCATCACCGACCTGGACTGGCACTGGAGCGAGCCTCTGCTGGCCACCTGCAGCGTGGATACTAACGTCCACCTGTGGGACGTGCGGGAGCCGCGCCGGCCCGTCGCCACCATGCGCTCCGTCGAGAGCGCCTGCCAGGTGAGACCGCGCTGTGGGACTTTGGGCTACTTCGATTAATTTGATATTGCATAAAGGTTCTATAAGTTGTCATTTTTTCTCAATCATGAAATGTCCTACGGAAGCCTTAAAATATGCGCTATCATAAACGAATAGGCGATAGGAACCTTCCTATTTTCAGATAGTTTGCGACAGATGTAAATGTTATAAAGGTTATCCAAATATTTGAACGAGTCCCAAGGGTTGACATTACACAGTTCGCGTCTGTGTCCCTTTCTGTGCGTCCGTGGCATGCAGCGCTAACACAATGCTGCACAACTGACACCGCATGGTTCTGTCGGGCAGGTGAAGTGGAACCGGATCTCGAGTCAGACGCTGGCCAGCTCGCACGAGGGCGATATTCGCGTCTGGGACCGTCGCAAGCTCAGCATCCCAGAGCGCTACATATCGGCACACACGGCCAAAATACACGGCCTCGACTGGTCGCCAAACTCGGTAAGTGGCGCTCGGACATATCGATAATTGTGCTCAAACTCAGTGCTAACATTAGTCTGATAGTTATGAACGGCTACTGACATGATTTGACCGATTACTGGCTTCATGCCGCAAATATATTTTCAAACCTTCGTGTTACCTACGTTAGAATTATCTCAAAACTGGGCTTTCATGTTATCATTATGTTCCGGGTTGAGTGAGGCGCCGAACTGATTGATCATCGTTTTTTTTCAGGAGTCTCAACTGGCCACGGCCAGTCAGGATATGTACGTCAAGTTCATCGACGTCACAAACCCTCGCAACATCGCCAGCATGCCCAAGGCCAAGGACCCCGTCTGGCGCGCCCGCTACACGGTACGTTCGGCTCTCGGTGGCACGCGCAGTGCATGGTCCGTACGACGTATGTACGCTCGTGCTTTCTGTGATGCGCATGATTGTTGAAACTGTCTTCAGATGCCCGGGTGTGTCAATAATTACAAATGTACGCTGGGAGGCAAAGTGACGCGAGATGGCATCATTCTGGTGCATTGGAAAATTGCGTGGTTATTTTTTCTGGAGAGCACCGATACATGTTTCTCTTCCAATTGGTTGTACTGGTAATGGCGCAGACGATTGCAGCAGTGCAAGTAGTTTGTACGGGTAAACCTTTCCTTTTATACCTTCTATGAGTTGTGAATTGTGATGTTATTCTGACGTCTCCGCCTGCGTCGGTCAGCCGTTCGGCAGCGGCCTGGTAACGGTGGCGGTGCCGCAGCTGCGGCGCGGAGACAACTACTGCCTCTGTCTGTGGAACACGGCCAGCCTGGCCGCCCCGCAGCACACGTTCGCAGGTCACTCGGACGTGGTGCTCGAGTTCGACTGGCGCCAGCCCGACCCATCACAGATCAGAGGTAATAATTAACTATTTTGTTTTTCTTTCGTCTTGATATACACTTCTTCTACAGAAAGTATATTTTTGACGCGAGTTACTCACTGCATGTTTCTTCACGGGCAAATGCCAATTATTTGTAGAAAGTGCTCTTATCCAGTAGCGAACCGATGCCCGTTTTTCCCGGTGTGACGGTATGATGTCATTTTGACCGTTTTTGCGCCGCTAGGACTGGCCGTTTCGCCGTCCGGCACTGTCCTCCCTCGTACCGCCGGCCGGGCCGCCGTCCCGCCCTGTCGTCCCTCGGACCGCCGCCCGATGACCCACCGTGTCCGCCCGGCAGACGACTGCGAGTACGAGCTGCTGACGTGGTCGCGCGATCAGACGCTGCGTCTGTGGCCGCTGAAGGCCGACCTGCTGCAGGCGTGTGGCCACGAGCTGGCGCACGGCGTCAGTGGACTGGACACGGACCACGCCGCCTCGCCGACCACCGACGGTAATTACCTACCGGCTGTCGTTATCAGCGAATACTGAGCCATAGTGGACGAGTGTCATGGGAATCACTAATATGTGCGCTGGACACTTGGGACTCTATAGATTCATCACTAATTGCTTTGAATCGCAATGGTCTCCGTTAGTGCTCCCCTTTTCAAAACCTGATATTTGGCACCTTGGAGAAGAGAGAATTCAAAACGGAATCGCTCAAGGTGACCGCAATACTGTCGTAAATGTCGCTACGATCTTAAGTCGCCATTGTTACATACTGTCGCTGCAGCTATCGCTGAGACGTGCTGCACCAATGAAATTACGGACGCTGAAGTGAGTTTTACATATTTAGTCGGTTTTTCCTGAAAGCTTACGGAGTATGCTGCCTATTCCTGCAGGTATGGAGACCAGCTGCATCGAGCTGACCTCCCAGGAGCAGTCGGCGGCGGACAGCGGCCCCGGCAGCGGGCCCGTGTCGCCGCCCGTCTCCCCTCAGCGGCCGGCGCCGCCGCGCATCTGGCGAGCCATCAGCGAGGGGCCGCCCGCCTCACTCGAGCAAGAGTTCCTCATGATCAACAAGAACATCGACAACGTGCGCATCGAAAAGGTAGATGGACTGGGCACTGGGTGCGGTCGGGCTTTGTCAACGGCTACTAGAAAATGCTCTTAAGAATATCCATTATTTATATCTGACATGCCACACTGTGAATGTGCTCGGCTTGTGCTGTGACCGTCCGCCCATGTCGTGGTGAGGTTCCATGTGCTGTGATAATCCTCCCTCCCTGTGAGGCTCTGCTTTGTGTCATCTGACCTGTGACGGGTGTTTGCCCCCCCCCCGCTCCTTGTGCCGCAGATGAGCGCCGAGGAGCGGTGCTGCACGGTCTCCGTAGTCTGTGGCTCCGTCTCCGCCTGCCTCCGAGTCACCTTCCCTCTAAGCTACCCCAGCCAACAGCCCGAGTTTCGGTACCTGGAGGGCACCCGGCTCAGCGCCGCCGACCGACAGCACGTCAAAAAGGCCTGGGAGCTCACCGCCGAGCAGCACGTGAAGCGGAACCGCAGCTGCCTAGAGCCGTGCCTGCGTAACCTGGCGGCCAGCCTCCAGCGGCTGATGGAGCGCCAGGAGGAGACGGCGCCATCGCTCTACCCGGTCAGTTTCCGCGTGTGTTTGTATCTTTTTGTCTGTCTGTCGCTATCCCTTTTCCCTCTTCTTTTGCACGTTACGTGGGCGTCAGGCGAGGGCTGGTCGATGGAGCCTCTTTTCCGCGGAGATAGTGTACCTCTTGGAACTGGCCTCCGGGAGCCAAGTGCTCCGACCTCACGTGCCAACCTTTTCCTTCTCTCTTCTTTTTTCTCTTTTTTTTTTTTACTCGCATCTCTGTCCCACCTTTCTTTTTGTATTCCATCAGCTTTCTTCTCTCTCTCTCTCTCCTCTCCCTCCCCATTTCCTCTGTTACGTTGTCTATTTCTCTATCCTTCGACGGAGGGTGTCGTTCAGACTTGTGTTCGCCTTTGGTCTGTTCAGTTGTCCGCTGGTCGGCTTGAGCTGCCGTCAACTGGGGTTGAAACTGTGACCGTTCTCTCTACTGTCACCAGGCGCCGAGTACCACTCTCTTCCCGTCGGCCAACCTCTACGGCAGCTTCAAAGACGTCAACGTGGCATTTCCGCGCACCTCGGGAGCCAGATTCTGCGGCAATGGTCAGTCTCACCGCCTCTAATGCTATGTCCCAGTTCTATGTCATGTCGATATCTGAGGAGCGAAAGAAACAAGTTTGCTTAAATTTTCGTGGAATTTGTTTGTATTTAGAGAAAATAAACAGGGCGCGAACGACATATGCCGCCTTTCTGACGTGCAGATGCCTGCACCACTATGATATTCGTTGTGGCCGTGGCATTGGGCCTGTCAGTGTGACGTTGGTATTTCTTGTGTTCCCAGGTATGCTGGTGGTGTTTGCGTGCCCGGCCTACATGAAGCGGCTGTCGTCGCGCGGCGAGGGCGTCACGCCGCGCTCGCTGTCGGCGCTGGACGCCTACCTCATCAACTACGCGCAGGGCGCCTCGTACGCGCTGGCCGGCGCCCGGCTGGCCGCCTCGCCGATGCTGTTTCCGTCCCTGTCGCGCAGCCCGACCGGCGCCGACGGGCCGCTCTACGGCAAGGAGGCGGTGGTAAGCGTACCTGTAGATACCACAGCCGCCGGCGCTGCTTGTCCAGGCATCATGTATCGGACACCGCCATATCTTTCGTTCGGTCTGGGCTTCATAGACCAAGTTCTTTGGTTCTTGAGGCATGTTTGTTTGTCTGTTACCATGTGGCAGCAAATAGCAAGCGCCCGGGTTCATATATTCATTATTCACGACTGGTTTATACAGAATGGTGCATTACAGTCATAGACTTGCCAAGATGACCGTGAGCGCCTCTCATCTGTAGTGTTTCTAACGGTGGTTTAGCTCGGTTCGCGGTTAATTCTGTTAACATGGGCGCGGTTAATCTTGTGTGCTCTGCTCACCGCTCATTATCGCGCTCTATAGTTTACGAACTTGTTGCAGCTCCACTATCCTGTCTAGTGTCTATCCCCTCAAACCTCCTTGCCGCTCCGTCCGCAGCGTCTGGGCACATCGTCTCTGGGCCGCCGTCCCAAGGCGTACGGAGAGGAGAGGGCCCGGCCGCGGCACCCGCGCACACACACCAACATAGTACTCTGCTACGACGCCAGTCGTCTGATGCCGCTCAACAGGGAGCTGGCTGAGCGATACCTGTGAGTAGCTGCGATTGCAGTGGCTCCGTCACGTCACTTATTCGTCCTGAGCCAGCAATATGTAGTGTGGGGCTCGGAAGCCCACCCCCCCCCCCCCACACACACACTTCTGCGGTCTTCTGAGGTCTGCCACATTGCTGGCTCGTCCTCTCGACCCAGTTTGAATTGTACTGGTGGAAGCTCCTACACGACTAGTGCTCTACCAGTCATGAAACGCTCGATCTCCTTTACGTCAGTTGCCTAGGTACCGACTGCCCCTTGTTTTGCCGTGGTCTATTGTGTTAAATGCAGCTTGCGAAGACGGTTGCCGCCTGACCATCTCCTATCTGCCCATATTTTTCAGTCTGGGCGGACAGGACTTCAGTGGCATGTGCAGCGCCAACGCCAGCCTGGCGGCTTCCGTCGGCAGAAAGGACCTGGAAAAGGTGAGCCAGGAACTGGGGTTGGCGGTGGAGTGTATGTTTTATTGGACACGGAAGGGACCCAGGGATGGCGGGTCAGTGCCTGGGTTGGATGGTGTGTGTTACTTTGGCTTTTATTGTATTGCTAAGCGAAATTTGAGGGATGCTATGTGTTTCTTGGAAGTACTGAGTGGTGGTGTGTGACACGGGAAAGGCGGAGCGACTTAATGTTACCGGATAGGACGAAGTGGCGACGGCTTCGTAATTTTGCACTGCGCCGTCCTGCCGTCGCTTGCCGCCGTCTGTCTAACGTCGTCCCATCTCGGTCAGGTGTGGAACCTGATCGGCCTGGTGGGCGACCCGGGCCTGGTGGGCTCCAACGCCGACCCGGACGCCGGCCGGCCCTGGGCGCAGCACCCGTTCGGACGCCGCCTCGTCGAGTCCGTGTGAGTAGCTACAATCCTTGTTTTCTTCTGACCCTGCAGAGCTGTCTTTTTTCGGTAGTTTGTATGATAAGCGTACAGTCAGACACTCGTTTGTCTGTGTGGCTTCCCCGGCGCGGCTCCGATAGTATGATGCCTTAATCCCACTCTCTCTGACGCCGCCGTTCTCCCCGCAGTATCTCTCACTACCTGAAGATGCGCGACGTTCAGACGGTGGCCATGCTGTGCTGTCTGCTGGGGACGCGCGCCCAGCAGCCCAGCTCCTCCGTCCGACAGCAGGCCGTCGCCCAGCTCGACTCGGGCAGCGTGAGTGTCGGCCGCAGCCGCAGGATAATGGGAGACAACTGTGGGAATTCAACTGCAATTTTATCTCATGGCTTTGACAGACACTGATAAGCTTTTCAAGCAATTTAATTATTGGCTGTTTTCCTTTTTGATGTAGACAACACGTTCGCCATCAGCCTCAATCCAGTTTTTTTTTAATAGCTGAGACTTTTGTGTCAAGCCCATTGGCCAAACGCTTTGAAAAAGTGTTATTCCGGAACCAGTAATGCTCTATCAAATGTCGATGTTGCAATATTTGGGCTCGTAATTCCCATTCGTTTCTTTGTTGTGATCCTGTGAGTGTCGGTTGTAACTAACTTTCAGGGTCTGTGATATTCAAGAACAGTATCTGGCTGTTGACTGGATACTGTGCGTTGTTGAATGTACGTTTAGGGTTATATAATTATGTGCCCCGATTACCGAGTATGGGCGGACTGACGGGACCGCCAGTCGAACGGCCCGCTGAGAAATACCCCACCTGTCGCCCCCAGCTGCCCGTACCCAACAAATGGTGGATGAAGGTAGGGGCCACGGTCACGGCCACCGGGCGTGCAGTCCGTCCGCTGTCCGTCCGTCTATACCCACACCCCGCCCCGTAGCTATGTGTATTCGCTCGCGTGTGCGCTTGTGCTGCTGCCGGGTGTCGGATGAGATATCAGAAGCTCTCCCAGCCATCCCCCGCCCTCACTTCCTCGACCCACAGTCGAATGTCCTCTGAACTTACCTGTGGGAACCGTACCGGTGGGAATGTCCCTATATCAGGCCGCCCAGCTGTCCATGTAGTCCCTTGCTCTGCGCCCGCTGCTGTCAGATAAACACGCACACCGTTTACACCAGGGGTGTGATGTAACATTTATGGCCGCTACCCCGGTACCCCAACAACTTACAGCAGACTCAGCAACACCGCGGCAATGTTTTGCTTTGCTTGGTTTTGTTTACTTTTTAGTTAACCCACGCATATCTGTAAGTACCTGTAGTAACCCATCGTGCAGTACGAATTTTGAGTTCGGCACTTTGTAGCGTATTCTGGGATGTTGCTTTGGAGCGATTTGGCACACCCATGCATCTTGGGAAACTGGATTGCCGGGTGTAAGAAAAGCCTGTAAGTTCAAAGGTTGCTTTGCTTTTGCTCTACGAGTGCTATACAATTACGTACCTGACCGTCATCGATTATGTTTTGTTTTTCAATGATCAAGTGGCATTAGGCACGTATTTTTCATATTATTGTCCAAAGTTTCTTTCTTTCACTTTTTACAGCAGGATTGTAATTTGATTGAGGCAAGGTTTGACGAGTTTTGTTTGTCAGGTGGTGCAATGTGCATATTGTAAGCATCCCAGTGCACGTTAGAAAATAGTGGCGAATTATGTGCGTTTTCACAGATGTATCGCCTACTCACCATACGGTAGGCGGGAGCAGCCCACAATCACTTATTCAACAGTCAGCTATTCGAACTTTTTACAAAACCAAACTACATAGATAATAGATATGTCAACTATGTATTTCCGAAAGCCATGCATCACATTGGATAACAACTAAGACACGAGTTGCTGTCGCTTATCCGATCAACCGCTGAAAGGGAACTGACCCGGGCCCTGTTTCACCGGTGATAGCAGCACGCTGCTATTACACGTGTCAAATTGGGTTTCCATGGAGACGTCAACAAGCCTATTCCTCCAACACTACCAGAAGTGTGACTTCAGCTCGCGAAATGGAATAGCAGCGTGCTGCTATCACTGATGAAACAGGGCCCTGGGCCACGTCTTCGAACTACTAGCATAGAACGCTAAAACAACTTGCTTTATTCACTGATGTGTTTGTTTTCGTATTTATCGGGTGTAGATTGGGGAAAATGGACTTAACGGGCAACAAGACAAGTCTGGATACAACATTTCGACAATTAAGTGCATGCTGAAAAGGTGCATGTTGATATATAGTCTAATTCCTGTTCGACCATCTGGCCCAGAAAACAGTGCCTCAGAATGGCACCTGGGATAGCATACCGTCATACAATACAAGTTCAGCGCTCATTTTCCTTCGAGGTGGATGGACTGGTATGAAGCATGACTCGGTGTCAGGTCATGACATTGACATTCGTGTGCCCGTATTGTGTTTCTCATCGTTGTGTGATCCCTGCCGCCGAGCGGCGAGCCACGGTTGCGGGGACAGTATGCTAGGGTTGATAGGGGGGGGGGGATGATAGCGTCTTGAACGGTTCGAAGCCCATATCTGACAGAAGTCCAGCAGTGGTTATTGCTCCCTAGTTTCCGATGCCTCAATTGACGTCCTCATAGAAGCCTGAACCGGCTCTTGTCGAGTTTCAAGCTACCACACATTTGCGTACATTATCTCCAGCGAAGAACATTTATTATCACAAGAATGAACTGTCTAATTTGTCATGATTTGGAAAATGCTCAGGAACGACAGGTTTATTTTAGCTACAAATTACTGCGTTGGAAAGTGGTCGTTAATGTAGTTGGATGTCAAGAAAAAGGTGTTCGCTACCTCCTGCATCTATCGCTGCGTAGTTCTGAAGCCTGCGGCCTGCTTGCCAAAATAGTCATGCATAATTTTTGAAAGTTTTATTTGCGAACGTAGGGCTGGCGCATGCGTAAACGCGCGTGAGCGTGCAATGGTGCGTGTGGGTCAGTGTATCGGGGCGGTTTTTGTATGGCGTTTCTGATGATCTGTCGGTCGGTCGGGATATCTTTGATATCTCTGTGACTGAAGCCCCCTGTGTGTTTCAGCTGGGATTGGTGAAGAAGGTAATTGTGTGACTTTTACTAAAATTTTGACGTCCGTCCCATTAACCAGCATGGCTGAAGTCCTCTAGCATATTATTTTTAGGCGTCTCATTACAATGCATTTCTGTTTAAGAAACCCATGCTGAAAACCGCCTTATGAAGACAAACGTGCGGGTGTGAGACGAGGATGGTGTGAATGAGCTCAGCTTCGCAAATGACGTCGGCTTCCTCTTAGTTGCAGTTTGGTCTGTTCCGTTAGTGTTTGCGAAATATGTTAGCTCTGCCGCTATAGCATCACTGGCGGCGTTCCAGACGAAAGACGCTCTGTTCATAACGCACACGTACGAGTATTGCTAGAATGGGCTGTATAGTCGACGCTACTCCGACCTCCATGTAGACCTTCGTCTCGAACTTTTTTTTACCGAAAGCTGTTAAATTGAACGATGACGCAGGTCTTGAATTACTAGAGTCTAACTTATAAATCGGAATCGAACTTCTGTATCGAATGGAGCAAAAAAGGCAATCAAGGAATACTCCTGTGTTATGCTTCTAGTCTTCCTGAAGTCAGCATTTTGGCCTCTAGATACAGCGAATTTAGCTACACTGCTCCATCCGATCTTTGCTCGAGGTCATGACCTGACCCAAAATGGTCATGTTGTGCATCCGTCGTCACGTCCAAAGGAGACCAGCATAGTTCAGCTGATTCAACGCTTGAGCCTTATTTCAACCACCAAATGAAGCAAATAAACGCATTTGATCTCCCAGGACGGCACATGAACTCACGATACACAAGTGCCATCGGTAAAGTGCATTGAATATTACCATCGCATTGCTGTGGTATGATTCTGTGCTGTGAGTTGATTCAAGGTGCATGTAAATACATGTGAGCTTGGCAGGTGTATTTGCTATTGGCAGTTGCCATGCTCATCAATTGTTGACACTTTCTTATAACTTTTTTAATAGTTGATTTAGTAACTCATGCCGACTAAGCTATAAGCTCATCACCATTTTCTGAAGGTGAAGTTACTTGACCTGACCGGTGATTTGGAGCTTAAAACGCCATACTCTGACTATAACCCATACCATGATTTAAAAAAAAACGCTTGCTAGTGTGCTCCCGGAATATGTGGGATGAGGCGCGTGGGCATTGTCAGAAGTCGTAAACGTGTGTTGATCTGGCCGACTCGTGTGTTCTTTGCATTTTCTTTGCCTTCGCTGGTTCCAATCCAAACACCGCGTGGCTCAATAATCGTAATAGTCTGCGCAAATTGTCCTGCTGCTTGCGGCATGTTTGATCTTTGCTGCGAAATATAAACAGTGGGTTATAAATGTTGATGTAAAAAGTTGGCTTCTATGTACCTACCTTGTGTCTGTCTGGTTTATGTCCTGTCCTTAGATAAAAATTCAGACTACCGCTACCCAGCACGTATAGCTATGAATATGACAGGTATGGTAGCAGGCTGCGATATGGACATCGGGCAGCGGTCAGTTACCGCATGCAGTTATATTACCTTCCGTCTCGATGGTGAGAGAAATCGCTCGGTTCCCCGCTTACCAGACATTACTCTCTTTGACCTGCGATAGTAAGAAGTCGACTGGAAACCTTGACAATTAGGCTATCGAAGGCAATCGAAGTAGAGTTTGTTGACGATAGAGAGGCGGAAAGGGCCCTGAAAGCTACTCACTTCACATACACAGTTAAGGATCAGCAGGGCAGAAAGGAAGTAAACCTTTCGGTCAGCGTTTCGCCGCATCGCACGAAAAATTCCAGCCGAGGGGTCATTTTTTGCGACGATCTGGAGGGCATGCAAAACGACGAGATCGCCGAAGGCCTGTCACAGTTTGGGGTCTCCGCCGCCCGCCGCATCTACACCAAGAGAAGTGGCGCTCTCGCACCCACGCACAGTATCATTTTGACTTTCAACTCGCTGGAACTGCCGAGGGAGGTGATGATAGGATATCTGTCCGTGAAAGTTCGACCATATGTCCCGAGTCCCATGCGTTGTTTTCAGTGTCTCCGATTCGGTCACACTCGAGACAGCTGTCGGAACAGACCAGCATGCGGGAGCTGTGCGGCAAATGACCATAGCAGTGCCGAATGTTCGTCGTCCGAGTTGAGATGCGTCAATTGTGACGACTCTCAGACTCCACATTCCTCGTTTGATGGGCGATGCCCGGCCCTCCAGAGAGAAAAAGAAATAATGTCCCTGAAGGTCACCGAAAGGCTGTCATTTCGTCAG